GGGGGAGGGGTGGTACTTCTAATGGAAGAGATTCAGACTGAGAGAGACACATTCTGAGACCCGGCGCCGATGGTTATTTTTGTGGTTCTTAGCCCCAGCTTTTGTTTTCCTTAATTGAGTGAGGGGAATCTGCGCCCCACTTTGACCTAATTACATAATTGAATTATGCAAGGAGAATCCACTTCTGCTCTCGCGAAGACGGAAGTGAAGCAGATAATGACGTTTTACATAAACAGGAGTCTTATCTTTTGATGCATTTCTGTGTCCGGGGGGACTTTCTTGTCTTGTTCTGCGCATTTGTTGTATGTGTGTGTGTGTGTGTGTGTGTGTGTGTGTGTGTGTGTGTGTGTGTGTGTGTGTGTGTGTGTGTGTGTGTGTGTGTGTGTGTGTGTGTGTTGTAACAGGGGACATAATCCACGAATATTTCAAACAAGGATAGGAACCTGTAAAATTGTGTCCCTTTAAGCTAATGCAGCAGACACCCGACACCGAGCCGACTTTATTAAAATTTCGATGCGTATTTGGCGGCTTGCTATGGGATAACGCCTAAAAAAGTTATATCGGCAATAGGTAGGCCATTGCTAAATAGTTTTTGTGAGTCGGCCCTACGTCAGTTAGACATTGGAATCCGCTTGTCCGCCTTGCCGACTCAGTGCCGCACAGTCAGCCGAGGAAGTCATGCTGTCTGGGCACAGCCCGGCGTGAAAGCATTGCAACGAAAACAATGATACAGGGCACTGCTGAAGGCATTCTCAAAAGAAAACAACAAAGTAAAAAGAAAAAGCTGGTCTGACAACATCATTGAATGGACAGGTTTGTCGACAAGAAAACTTCTCGACGGGACGATAGAGTCACGTCATCCGTCATGGAAGAGAAAAGTCTTGAAATCTGCGCTCAGTTTCCCCTGACGAGGCAAGAAAAGGGACTAGTTAGCGTGAGAAGGTGAACAAGGTATAAAACATTGTGTGTACGTATACGTAAGAAGATTGCCCCTACTTATTTCAAGAAGTTTTCAAATACACGTTTAAGGTAGCAATAATAATTATCACTTCGGTGTGAACCTTATAATCAAGGTGAAAGCGAAAGTAAAACGTAACAACGAACTAAAAAGTTTCCGAACTTCAACGTTGACTTCTTTTTACGAAGGAAATTACATTTAGTATCAGATTTTGTGTTGTCCGTCACTTCCTCCACACAGTTTCACTACGTGTAAACATTATTGACCAATCACATTTCGCCAACTGTACCGGGTCCGAGAGAAACACGAGTTTCTGGATGTGAAAATAAAACCAGGAAGGCGTAGGTAGGTGGTATTTAGAAGGCAAATTCTTGTTTCCTGATAAACGTCTGTCCTGCTTATTGTTAGTTATCAGTGTCGCTACATGTCAGTTTGATTTTTTCCCTTCATGAAAAAGAAAGACAAACAACAACTTTAAAAAACGTGCTTCAATCAAAGTAAAGTCGAGATTAGAGATCTTCAGAGACCTTCTGATAAAGAGCCTTTCATACAGCAGAAGACCAACCTCCCACTAGATCTAGATCTAGATTCTAGACCCAGGTACTAGATCCTAGTCTAGGTTTAGAATCTACTTCCACTTCCATATCCAGAGTAAAATCTAAATCTAGATCTAGATCTAGATCTAGATCTAGATCTTGTATACAACCAAAGTTGTAGAAGCAGTCAAAAGCGAGCGGGGTGACTTGAAGAGTGAGGCAAGTTTTTGTATTTAATGTTATTGTTAGCCTAGAATCTATTTGTTAGCCTATTTTTTAGGCTCGTTTCAAATTTGGTGTTTTGCTTTTACTTCTGTTGTGAATGTGAAAGTTGAGTGTGCTGTAGATTTATTTCTAAATCTAGATATCTAGATCTAGATCTAGATCTAGCGGCACATTATTCGTCGAATTACCAAATTTATTTTGATGTGATTTGAGATCTTTATTAGATCTAGAATCTAGATTCTAGATCTAGATTCTAGATCTAGAATCTAGATTATATCTAGATTTAGAATCTAGATCTCTAGATCTAGAATCTAGATATCTAGATCTAGAATCTAGATCTAGAATCTAGATTCTAGATCTAGATTAGTCTTTGATGTAATAGATCTATTTACTGATTACGAGACCACACAGTATAATCAAAGGGTTTCTTCAGAAAGTCATTCATTGAAGATGAAAACAATCCTTGATCGATTAGATCTAGATTCTAGATCTAGCTTATATTGTCATTATTGTCTCCACTCCAAATGTTCATGTGAATGTTCATTTTAAAGGCTTGTTGACGACTCTTGTCTGTATGTCTGGATCTAATCTAGATATCTTTAAAATATCTAATTTGTTTAGTGGCATCAAGGATAAGCTGAACTCTTTTGTTTTTATTTCTGCAAGGCTTTAAGATATATATATTTAAAAAAACTGGAGAGAATATTCTGTTCAAAAGTACATTAGCTGACACTAATTTATTGTTCATGTAAGATCTTCTAATTTGCAGTGGCCGCATTCACATTCATTGACAAAGCTTTTTGTTTCTATTGCAGGCTCCATCTTGTGTATTCGTCAGTCCAGATTGTGAGACTGAACGAGACAAACTTTCACCTGCCCTTAGCTGTAGCACAAGGGTTTTAAAAAGTCGTTGGAGACTTGTGAGCAGAAACGAGCAAATATGATTGGATCTCACCGTTATACTGTTTTGCTGTTGGGGTTGGCGGCGATAGCGGCTGTCAGTATGGCCAAAAAGAAAGATGAACGGGAATGTGAAGGTAAGCCCCCCCACCTGCCTGCCCCTTCACCTTCGAATATTATTATGTTAAATTGTGAGCAAATGCTGTCTTTCCTTTTTTATATCTGTATATTATATATATAAAAATATAAACATATTATTATGTTACAAAATTTCAAGAAACTGTGACAGTTTTTATTGTGCCTTTGTAACTCTCACAGTTTTTGTTTGTGTAAAAGAGTGAAAGCTATATGAAAGATGGTGTCATTTTAACGTTGTGCTTTTTTTTCCTTGTCTCTCTCAGATGTGGTAGTGAAGACTTTGGTTCTATTTTTCTACAATCTTCTTCATCCCCGTTTTTCCTATTTAGTTATCTTTACTCCATGATTGTCCAGTCTTTTTGATTTTTTTGCACTCTCTTGACGTGATTTGGTATAAATGCATGGGCCTTTCTTATCCTTGTCAACGTGTTGGTTTTATAAAAGTATTGTAATAAAATAGTATGGATTAAGGAAAAAATTTAATTCCATAATTTCATTGAATGTTTTCTTTCCCTCTGCAGTTTGTATCGGTGCAATAAAGAAATTCAAAGCTGACCTCACGGATGATGTGATCAGCAAGGTAGACAAGCTGGAGGCAGCCTTCAAAAAATTCTGTAAAAAATTGCCCAAAGGTGGAAAGGAAAACAGATTCGTAAGTCTTTATTTTTATCTCCTTTGTAGGTACTTTTTTAAAAGTAGGCCTTCTGGTTTTTTTTGGTGGGGGGGGGGGGGGGGGAGTTCCTGTTAGTACTGGGTTTCTTTTTCTCTTTGTGAGTACTTTTATTTTTTTGGGGGGGAGGGGGGATGGGTTGTAAGTACTGTTTTTTTTTTTTTCTTGGAACAAGTAGAAACTGGTTTCTTTTTTTTAGGGTCCAATTTAAGTAGGCTACTGTTTTTGAGTTGTTTCTTTTTAACGTCGTAAGTACTATTTTTGTTTTTGGGTTGGTATTTTTTTTTTTCATGACATACTTGCTTTTGGTGGCTTGTGTTTTTGCTGTTCATGGAACTATTATAAATAGTGTTGTGTAATGGCTAGATGGTGGATGGATGGATCAGTTTGCGATTGTGTTTGCCACTGCCATGTTCTGGTTGTCTTGCTCAAATAAGGGATTGAGATGATGCCAAACGCATAACCTTTATGCCGTCTTTGAGTAAATATTTTCATGATAATGGACATGGCAAATGATAACTTGGACAAGAAAGTTCTTTTTTTGTTAATTATTTTGACGTAAAAATTAATAAAAGGTTCGTTCACAGCTATGCAAGGCCATAGCAAAACGAAATGCTGTCATATTCTTTCAGAAATATGTCAGTCTTTGATTATCATTTCTACATTTAAAGTGTGTCATCTGTTATCACTTGCTCTATCACCTTTTGTCCATCTGTGTGGGTGAGTGGAGGGTGCTATTGGTAAGTCCATCAACTTAATGTTTCGATTAGTTCTTGTTTGTTTATCTTGCGTTTTGCTCAGAGTAAATAATGGCAGATGTCATGTCGGGTGTACTTCTCTTTGCTGAAGCTGAACCGTCAAATGACACATGCGTGTCTTCTGTCCTCCCTTCTGTACATTCTCTTCTCTCCATCCCACACCAGTGCTATTTTGTTGGCGGTACCGAAGACGCGGCCACAGGTATCCTTGGCAACCTGGTGCGACCCCTCAGCTACCACCTGCCGCCCGAGAAAATCTGCGAGAAACTCAAGGCCATGGATGCTCAGATCTGTGAGCTGAGATACGGTGAGTACTGGTACCCGTCTCTCTCAACCACATGGTGTTGAGATACATGATACATCGGGTGGGGGGGGGTATTGGGAGAGGGAAAAAAATAGGTTGAGTCTCCCTAGACCGTGTCTTTTTTAGTAAAGTATAGACAGCGGAGAGGAACTCTTGTTTAAGATAACATAAGATAATACCGGCACTTATATGACCTTATTGTGTTGCAAGTGCCGTAAAACTCTTACTACAACTAAGATAAGATAATACTTTATTATCCGAGAGGGAAATTTTTCTTGACTGTAGTACATGACCTTAAAAACACATGCAGGTATACGTAAAAATTTAATTAATCTAATTGAAAATTGAATATGAAAATAAAAGTAAAACTGACAAAATGTGCATATCAGTATCACATCATTTGCATTATTCAGGCACGTTGTCAGTGCCCACCATCTTGACCCGCTGGGTGGGGGTGTATGATTGGTACGTGCTGACTGGGGGGGAAGATTGATGTGATTGTTTTACAATGTTTGTTTCTCCACCCCATTACCCAGTGGGTGGTTGGCGGGTGCTCTGGTGTGGTTTGCTTCTTCTTTCCTATCAAACATCTATCGTCATTATCTCCCCTTCTTCTTTTTTTCGTATTTGTTACTCTCTTGTGACACCTTTCATCTTCGGCACTTTTATAAGTTAAGTTTTAGTAGAGGTTTTATGGCGCTCGCAACTGCATAAGGTCATATGAGCGCTAGAAGATTAGAGGCGTTACAAGAGAGTAACAAAAATAAAAAAGAAGAAGGGGAGATAAGGACGATAGATGTTTGATAGGAAAGAAGAAGCAAACCACACCAGAGCACCCGCCAACAACCCACGCACTTTTATAAGACCTTATTGTGTTGCAAGTGCCGTAAAACACTTATTAAAAAACTAAACCTGTTGACATCCACCCCTTGGTGCTCATATGACCTTATTGGGTTGCAAGTGTCGTAAAACATATTTACTAAAACTTTAAAAAAAACCTTACTAAAACTAAACTAAACCTGACCCCCCCCCCACAGACGTGAAGCCGGACTTCACCAAGCTGAACAAGATGCGCGTGGGCGAGCTGAAGAAGATCCTGTCCAACTGGGGGGAGGACAACGCCTGCAAGGGCTGCGCCGAGAAGTCGGACTTTGTGAAGAAGGTGCGGGAGCTGCTGCCCAAGTACGAGCCCGAGGAGTGGAAGAAGCTGCAGGCGGCCGAGAAGACCGAGTTGTGATGTCGGCCCGGTGGTGTAGTGTTGTAGACCCTAGGAGTTTTTTTGTTTTGTTTTGTTGTTGTTGGTTTTGTTTTTAATTTTATTTCGCACCCTCGTGCGTGCTAGTTGTTTTGTTGGTCACATATTCATGTGGACTCACACATACATGCGCACACACATGCACACACACGCACTCGCAGACACATACACACACACACACACACGGACTCGCAGACACATACACACACATTGACATACACACATGCACGCGAGCACGCTCACCTGTTGCTTGAGGCATTTGAAAGTTGTCTGTTGTGCCTCTATCAAGTCGAGTAGACTCTGAGCCTAGTTATGATGGCGGGCTTACCTCACATGTCAGGGTTTGGGGTTCGATTCTGGTGTGAAATGCCAGTCTCCCTTTTATCCTCCGACTCCCTGAACCTTTTTTTAACTACTACGGGGAAAAAATGCCAGGGAGAAAGGTGCTGTATTTTCTGCATTCTTACATGGGGCACAAGTTGTGTCGCTGTATTCTGGTAGGAAGTCGCGAATCGAAAAAAGAATACGTGGTATGATTTTTAAAAGTCTGTTAGCTTGTTTTGTTTTTTTATTCTTTTGTCTCCGTCTGCTGAGGTTTTCACTGTTGTGATATTTTTTTGATTATTCATCAGCATTGACGCTTATCCATGCTTCTGGGGCCGGGAGGTTTTTTTCATTTTATATAATTTTCAGGGTGGTTTTTTTTTTTTTTGCTTAAAAAAAAAAATCATTTTTGTCACTTGTTACAGAATGACTTGTGGCTGTCTGATCCATCTCCAAACGTCATGAATGTTTGCATCATGTCATTCTCATCTGAACTGTTCTAGACTTTTGCGTGTAATAAATGAGGTAGTAGTGTTTGCAGTGTGTGCTTTGGAGAACAGGCATTTAGAAAAGTTTATATGTGTGTGTGTGTGTGTGTGATTTGGAGAAGCATTTAGAAAAGTTTGTGTGTGTGTGTGGAGTTTTAACTTATTCTAAATGAATGAAAGTTCTTGAAGATTATTGAAGTATAGAAATGTGTCCCTGATGGTTTAATTTTATACACATGTGTTGTTAAAAATCCTGACTTGGATCCTAGCTGAAGGATATGAGATTAATGAACATGTGCGTATATCATGTGTGTTTGAAATGTCCATTTTGCGACTCTCCACGTTTGTTGATTGGTAGCCTCGGTTTTTCTGGCTAGCCGTCTCTATGTGCTGAAGTCTCTATGTATTATTTGACACATTGCTGAAAGGAGTCTGTATATTTGATACATTGTGCTAAAAGAAGTCTGTATATTTCAAAATATTTGACACATTGCGCTGACTATCTTTGTTGACTCAGTGTGTGTTTGGGAGATGGGAGAGCTTGAGAAGAGTGGAGGTGCTACTGTATGTTCCTCTGTCGGGACATTTTTGCTGACGGTATTTCTGCCCGAGTGCTCGCGGGGCCTCTGTCGGTGAGTTTGCTGGGGTTTTTAAATATTTGCAAAGATGTGAATCCAATTCCCGAGTAGGGTACTTATTTTATCAAATGTCTCCTCCTTGGAAGCTGAACAAGCTGCTTGGCCTTGACCAGGCTGGGGCAGCCACATCCCCCCCACCCCCACCCCCCCAATTTGTGTATGTGGACATGTGCCGGCATCACTTTCTGAGTGTGGATGCGAGAAGTGTAGGCTAGAAGTAATTGAAGTATGATGACTTGATGAATGATGTCATTATGGTGTGTGAGGATCTCCAGGAACACATGCTGGGTTCAGATTGCGTTGAAAGGGGCGTAAAACATATCTACAATTGCATTACATAAGATTGTTGGAGGGTGCAGAAAGTTATTTGGCGAATTTTGTGAGAGACATACCTCTAGAACTTTTTTTAATCTGAAGTGAAATAGACCTAGAAAATAACTTGATTTTCTATCGCTATCGATGTTTTGTAAAATATGGAGATTTGATGAGAAAATGTGTGGGAAATTTGTGATCTGGATGATTCTGCTATTATCGTACTATTGATGTTTTATGAAATGTAGAGAGAGAGAGAGATGCTTGACGATGTTGCTTTGTGTGTGTGGAGAGCTGAGGGAAGTTGTGACTGTGAATGTGAAACTGGGAGGTGGCTGCGCACAAGGGCATGCCCACGGCATCTTTGTCTGGCCGAGTACGTTGAATAAAAACTGTTGAAACCTCACCTGAATTATAGACTGTTCGTCATGTTATTATATATATATTAGTGACTCAGCATCTGTGGTATGGGGAGAAATTTTAATCAAGTGAATCTTTGTCCGTCTACTGGGATGTTGTACGATACCCCTCTCAGTCCAGGTTGATCCTGACAGGCTGGTTTGGACGTGGGCAGCCTGCCTCCTAAATTATCTACATTGTGTTGATGGTGTTCTAAAAAAGCTCATATGACCTTATGCAGTTGCAAGCGCTGTAAAACGCTTAGCAAAATAATATAAATAAAAAATTTAAAAAAACCCACACTTTTTATAATGATAAACACATTGCCTTTTTCCAACAACAAGAACAACAAAAAAATCCACTGCCAACAGCGAGAAGTTTTGTATCAGGGCATTGTATTTTAAACCATTTATTGCACGTCATCAAAGGGCCTCATCATAAGACAGTAGAAAAAAAAACCCAAAACAAATACATGATATATATTATTATTAATATAATAATTGTTATACTATTATGGTGGTGTTGGGGGACAAAGCTGGAAGAAAGACACTGAGGGGGGGGGGGGAAAACAGTGTAGGGGTGAAGGTCGCGCTCCATCTAAGTGTCAAGGTCATCGGATGTCCGCGGTTAGAGTAGAGGGTCAGTCAGAGGTCAAAGGGTCAACTAGAGGTCAAAATTCTGCACTACAGTTCTGATCACGGGCAGTTGGGACAGTAGTAGTAGTAGTAGTAGTAGTAGAGGTCACGGAGTTCACGGTCATAACCTTGCACACTTGCTCACACACACACAACACCCTACAACAAACCACCCCCTCTTTGGTTCCCTTCATCAGTCAACCTCCTCACTCACTCTCCTCTTACCCACATTTCCATGTTCCAACGAGGAACCTTTCACTTACCACCTTCCAAGAGGAATAAACCTCATACACATATTTTTGTCTCTTACCCAAAAAAAAAACAAAAAAAAAAAAAACAACAAAATTTTAATTGAGAAATATGAAACCAAAAGTCATGTTTGCAAACAGAAAATTATTAAAATTTCACTTCACTTGCCGAAAAAGCAAAAATTTATGGATCGCAAAATTTTTTTTTTCTCCATCGACTTATAGGAAAAGAGAGTTGGAAAAAAAGAAACGTTAATATTAATTTGTGGAGGGGGGGGGGTTGGAAGAGATATAAAGAATGAGCAAAGCTCCAACTGGACAGCTCAACCACGCGTCAAGGTCAAGGACAGAAAACTTGAAATTTTCAATGCCCGGCGACACAATTGAGAGATTTCACCAAGAACATCTGACAAACCACACACCAAATTGTCGATCTGCCTCCTGTCCAGAGAAAGAAAAACTGGCAGCTCGACAGAATCATGACAAGGATATTCTATATATATGGAGCGGCAAATACACACAAAAATCATTGAAAGATTTCTCTTTGGTTTTAACTCTGTCTTCACCAACATTCAACCATGTGTCTCTGATTCAAAAGCACATTCCGTTTGAGTTAGCATATATATATGTTTCCTCTTACTCTCCAAACCTCCTAGCTATTGAGATTTATAAGCTTCGGGCTGGTCGTCCAAGAAATTTTATGTATCCACATTTGAGATGAGGTTCCGTCTAGACATGACCTGTGAGAAAAAGTTTTGTCTAGATGAGAAAGTTCTGTTTACTAGACATGACTACTGAGAGAAAGTTCTGTCTAGACATGACTACTGAGAGAAGGTTCCGTCTATATGTCGAAGTTTCATCTAAACATGATTACTGAGAGAAAGTTCCATCTACACATGTCTACAGAGATAAAGTTGCGTCCAGAAATGACTTCTGATGGACTAATAATATCTCTATTTGTGTCGAGTCTTCCAATGCCTACATCTCCCACTCTGGTAAAATTAGACCCAGGCCAAACCTCCGACCCAACCACAAAATCCGAGTCTGGAAATAAATTCTTTCCACACAGCTCCTCTTAAAAAAACACGCCTGTTGAGAATCTAGTCTAGAAAACTCATTGTTCTACAATATTTTCTGCTCACACATAAGGTCCACTCACATTCATCAATATGATTGAACAACCATTTAGCAAACTTGCTGGTTTAAAATTAAAGCTGATGAAAATTCGGAAACACTGCAGGAAAAGACTGAATTCTAAAACCATCGTTAACTGTCATCATCTTCACTGTCGTCATTCTCCGCAGTTTATCGTGCTCGTGCTTCTGTCCTTCTCCCCACACAAACTACCACTTCCTCAAATGACAGCTCTGCTGACAATCAACAGTTCAGTGAGGAGAAACAATCATTACCGTACCAAAAACTTTGCTTTCTCAAGGCAGAACAAAGCCAGACTTGCTTGTAACTCAATACTGTATGTAGTCACTTGCACGAAAAGACTCGATCTAGCTGTGACGTTAACCTTTTTGTTGTTCTTATTGAAATGGATGAAGCGTCTAGCAATAAGCAAAGGTTTAGCTGAGGACGAGTTGCAAATTACAGACATCATTTTCAATCAACTTGGTGGTCTAAAGTACTTTTTAAAAGCAACTATTAACCCTAAACATCTGATCAAGCCAGCTGGTGCATCTACATTTTGGATAGCAGATACCGTTAGCCTAGCCCAACACGTAACTCGACACTGCACATAGTCACCTGTACAGAGAGAGAGAGAGAGACAGGTAACTCAACACTGCACATAGTCACCTGTACAGAGAGAGACGTAACTCAACACTGCACATAGTCACCTGTACAGAGAGAGAGACACGTAACTCAACACTGCACAGTCAGTTGCAAGGAGAGACTAGCTGTTTCGTTAACCCAAAGCGTAATCCAAAATGGGATCGGAACTAGCTCAGTTACAGTACACACCTCTGGTAGTCGCAAACACGAGCCATCATAATAAAAAAATAAAACAAAGCCAAAACAAAAAGTCCAATCTATCCCACCTCCGACACGTTCTCGCCACTCCGCACACACAAGGACCCCACCAAGTAAGGGAATCAAGAAGCCAGAACAGCTGTACGCAGGACTCGGAATAAATTAATTGATATATATATATAATATAATAATCAAAACAGACACCATGAAAACAAAGACGAGAAAACCAAAGTACCACGCATACGGACACAGATCAGCTGACGAATAAATTACGGCTCATGCTAGAATCAGAAACAAAAAGAACAACAAAGACCGATCTCTCATGCAAGTTCTGCACCCTGGCAAATGAAGAATGAAAAAACTGGCCACAGAAGAGCTTCCTATCGCACACAGCGGAATCACATTTGGCCGCAAATTGAAAATGGTCATGGGATGGAGTGGGGGGGGGGGTGTCACGCAGGTCATCAAAAAACAAAAAGAATTCACAAACAGGGAGAAAAAATGTGTCCAATATCTTCTATCGTGTGAGAACTCTGCCAGATTTGTACAAATGGGTTCCAGTCTCCCTCTCTCTCCCTCTCCTTCTCCTCCTCTTCTCCCTCTCCTCCTCGCCCTGCGGGACATCACCGTCCCGTCAGGCGTACTGTGGCTGACCAACTAGCCAGGCTAGGAGAACATGGACCAACCAACGGCTCCCACCATCAGTCTATCTTCATCTGTCTCATTCACCATTCTTCCCTTACTTCCATCAACATGAAAAGATAAGGCAGTTCTCTTTTCACACACACACACACACACACACACAATCACATAGTTTTTGTTTCATCACTTTGACTGAATTAGTTTTATTTACACCAATAAATAACTCACTGCAAGTTGCCAAAATAGGGCAAACATTGAACTACCGGAAAAATAAAATTACTTAATCTTTTCAAACATTGCCTCCATCTCACTTTCTTCCAGAGAACTCTTGCTCTTTCAAAAATTATTTTTGTAGAACCAGAGAACTCTTCTTCTCCTCATACTCATAAATATGTCATTCAAACAAGTGAACCAGTGATAGGGATAGAGTATATAAATAAATATATATATAACATGGGGGGAAATGTTAAGAAAAAAAAAATTAAAATCAGTTTTTATCTATCACATTCCTTACACACAAAGGAAATAAATGGTTACTCTATTTTACCATTTCATATGAAATCCTTTCAGTACCGAAATCAAATTCCCTTCTATCTGTTATGAAGTGACCGACATTTTCAAAAAGTAGTCGGGTCGGCAATGGGTGATACTAAAGTTCTACAATCACAAACAACCGCCAAGAACATTTGCCTCCAATAAAAACCCACCCAACAGTCCAACAACTCCACCAACAGAACTTCACTCTTTGGAAAATTCACTAAAATAACTACAACAACAATTTTTTTTTGAATAACAGAAATATCAAAAAAGATTTCTCCCCAAAAGTCAAGCTGCTAGCTGTAGGCCCCTATGTAATGCTTCAAGCCCCCAGGATGAAAACTTCACACAATCTACCATTCAATTTGTTTTCATCAGGATCTTCTTTTTAAGCTAGCCTACCTAAAAACAATCATTTTTCAAGTTGTTTTAACCAAAAATGCTCCAGATTTTTTCCTTTGTGACCACCTCCACCACAACCAACGTCTGACTCGTAGAACTAACAACACCTACTCTCCTTCAGCATCAACAAGACAATTTCTGGAGATCCGAGTTGGGGGGAAAAAATGTACGAGAACAAATACATCAAAAAACACTCCCAGAAAAACTTACTTCTGACTTGAAAAAAAAAACCGACCTTAGTTCTGACTTGGGGAAAAAAACAAAACACCTTCACTTCGACTTATAGAGATAAAAAACCCACCTTACCTTAGACTTTTAGATAAAAAACCCCACCTTAGCTCCGATTTACAAAACAAAAACTCTTCCCCGTCTGCTGTCCTGGGAGGGAAGAGAGAACAAAGAGAGCAAATGAATGAAGGGTCGCGGGGTCGCGAGGTCAACTGTAGGTCAACTGTACACACACACACACACACACACTTCTATATATGAGAGCTATTGCCAGTAAACAAACTGTACCTATATGGAGTGTGGCAGGAACACTTGGTGGGGGTGGGGGGGTGGGGAGACTTTTGTACAAGTTAGAAAAAACATAATAATAATAATATCATTTACAATTTTAGTTTGAAAGAAAAGTTTAAAAAAACAAAAAAACTGGTTTCTACTCAAAGAGTCCGACCTCTTTCTAAACAGATCAAGAAAAACCAAACAAAGCAGTGGACAAACTGAGTGAGAAAGTCGACTCACTCCTCACACGATCTGACAAGGACAAAAAATGTCTGCACAATCCAGGGGACATTGGGGGTGGGGGGG